TTGACGTGACACATTCTAGGGACTGATGTTGACGTGACACATTCTAGGGACTGATATTGACGTGACACATTCTAGGGACTGATGTTGACGTGACACATTCTGGGGACTGATATTGACGTGACACATTCTAGGGACTGATATTGACGTGACACATTCTAGGGACTGATATTGACGTGACACATTCTAGGGACTGATGTTGACGTGACACATTCTAGGGACTGATATTGACGTGACACATTCTAGGGACTGATGTTGACGTGACACATTCTGGGGACTGATATTGACGTGACACATTCTAGGGACTGATATTGACGTGACACATTCTAGGGACTGATGTTGACGTGACACATGCTAGCAACAAAGGGACTGATATTGACGTGACACATGCTAGCAACGAAGGGACTGATATTGACGTGACACATGCTAGCAACGAAGGGACTGATATTGACGTGACACATGCTAGCAACAAAGGGACTGATATTGACGTGACACATTCTAGTAACAAAGGGACTGATATTGACGTGACACATGCTAGCAACAAAGGGACTGATATTGACGTGACACATGCTAGCAACAAAGGGACTGATATTGACGTGACACATGCTAGCAACAAAGGGACTGATATTGACGTGACACATTCTAGCAACGAAGGGACTGATATTGATGTGACACATTCTAGCAACAAAGGGACTGATATTGACGTGACACATGCTAGCAACAAAGGGACTGATATTGACGTGACACATTCTAGGGACTGATGTTGACGTGACACATTCTAGGGACTGATATTGACGTGACACATTCTAGGGACTGATATTGACGTGACACATTCTAGGGACTGATGTTGACGTGACACATTCTAGGGACTGATATTGACGTGACACATTCTAGGGACTGATGTTGACGTGACACATTCTAGGGACTGATGTTGACGTGACACATTCTAGGGACTGATGTTGACGTGACACATTCTAGGGACTGATATTGACGTGACACATTCTAGGGACTGATGTTGACGTGACACATGCTAGCAACAAAGGGACTGATATTGACGTGACACATGCTAGCAACAAAGGGACTGATATTGACGTGACACATTCTAGCAACGAAGGGACTGATATTGACGTGACACATTCTAGCAACAAAGGGACTGATATTGACGTGACACATTCTAGCAACAAAGGGACTGATATTGACGTGACACATGCTAGCAACAAAGGGACTGATATTGACGTGACACATTCTAGCAACAAAGGGACTGATATTGACGTGACACATGCTAGCAACAAAGGGACTGATATTGACGTGACACATTCTAGCGCTCAAAGGGACTGATATTGACGTGACACATTCTAGCAACAAAGGGACTGATATTGACGTGACACATTCTAGCAACAAAGGGACTGATATTGACGTGACACATTCTAGGGACTGATGTTGACGTGACACATTCTAGGGACTGATATTGACGTGACACATTCTAGGGACTGATGTTGACGTGACACATTCTAGGGACTGATATTGACGTGACACATTCTAGGGACTGATGTTGACGTGACACATTCTAGGGACTGATATTGACGTGACACATTCTAGGGACTGATGTTGACGTGACACATTCTGGGGACTGATATTGACGTGACACATTCTAGGGACTGATATTGACGTGACACATTCTAGGGACTGATATTGACGTGACACATTCTAGGGACTGATATTGACGTGACACATGCTAGCAACAAAGGGACTGATATTGACGTGACACATTCTAGGGACTGATATTGACGTGACACATTCTAGGGACTGATATTGACGTGACACATTCTAGGGACTGATGTTGACGTGACACATTCTGGGGACTGATATTGACGTGACACATTCTAGGGACTGATATTGACGTGACACATTCTAGGGACTGATATTGACGTGACACATTCTAGGGACTGATGTTGACGTGACACATTCTAGGGACTGATGTTGACGTGACACATTCTAGGGACTGATATTGACGTGACACATTCTAGGGACTGATATTGACGTGACACATTCTAGGGACTGATATTGACGTGACACATTCTAGGGACTGATGTTGACGTGACACATGCTAGCAACAAAGGGACTGATATTGACGTGACACATGCTAGCAACGAAGGGACTGATATTGACGTGACACATGCTAGCAACGAAGGGACTGATATTGACGTGACACATGCTAGCAACAAAGGGACTGATATTGACGTGACACATGCTAGCAACAAAGGGACTGATATTGACGTGACACATTCTAGTAACAAAGGGACTGATATTGACGTGACACATGCTAGCAACAAAGGGACTGATATTGACGTGACACATGCTAGCAACAAAGGGACTGATATTGACGTGACACATGCTAGCAACAAAGGGACTGATATTGACGTGACACATTCTAGCAACGAAGGGACTGATATTGATGTGACACATTCTAGTAACAAAGGGACTGATATTGACGTGACACATTCTAGGGACTGATGTTGACGTGACACATTCTAGGGACTGATATTGACGTGACACATTCTAGGGACTGATATTGACGTGACACATTCTAGGGACTGATGTTGACGTGACACATTCTAGGGACTGATCTTGACGTGACACATTCTAGGGACTGATATTGACGTGACACATTCTAGGGACTGATATTGACGTGACACATTCTAGGGACTGATATTGACGTGACACATTCTAGGGACTGATATTGACGTGACACATTCTAGGGACTGATATTGACGTGACACATTCTAGGGACTGATATTGACGTGACACATTCTAGGGACTGATATTGACGTGACACATTCTAGGGACTGATGTTGACGTGACACATTCTAGGGACTGATATTGACGTGACACATTCTAGGGACTGATATTGACGTGACACATTGCAACAAGGGACTGATATTGACGTGACACATTCTAGGGACTGATGATATTGACGTGACACATTCTAGGGACTGATATTGACGTGACACATTCTAGGACTGATTGACGTGAACATTCTAAGGGACTGATGATTGACGTGACACATTCTAGGGACTGATGTTGACGTGACACATTCTAGGGACTGATATTGACGTGACACATTCTAGGGACTGATATTGACGTGACACATTCTAGGGACTGATGTTGACGTGACACATTCTAGGGACTGATATTGACGTGACACATTCTAGGGACTGATATTGACGTGACACATTCTAGCAACAAAGGGACTGATATTGACGTGACACATTCTAGGGACTGATGTTGACGTGACACATTCTAGGGACTGATATTGACGTGACACATTCTAGGGACTGATATTGACGTGACACATTCTAGGGACTGATGTTGACGTGACACATTCTAGGGACTGATATTGACGTGACACATTCTAGGGACTGATATTGACGTGACACATTCTAGGGACTGATATTGACGTGACACATTCTAGGGACTGATGTTGACGTGACACATTCTAGGGACTGATATTGACGTGACACATTCTAGGGACTGATGACACATTCTTGACGTGACACATGCTAGCAACAAAGGGACTGATATTGACGTGACACATGCTAGGGACTGATGTCCATCCAAAACCATCTGGACTGGGTTCAGGTCCGGTCTCTCTCCTAATTGGTGGATCTACAGCCTCAGTCCTGGGTCTACAGCCTCAGTCCTGGGTCTACAGCCTCAGTCCTGGGTCTACAGCCTCAGTCCTGGGTCTACAGCCTCAGTCCTGGGTCTACAGCCTCAGTCCTGGGTCTACAGTCTCAGTCCTGGGTCTACAGCCTCAGTCCTGGGTCTACAGCCTCAGTCCTGGGTCTACAGCCTCAGTCCTTGGTCTACAGCCTCAGTCCTGGGTCTACAGCCTCAGTCCTTGGTCTACAGCCTCAGTCCTGGGTCTACAGCCTCAGTCCTGGGTCTACAGCCTCAGTCCTGGGTCTACAGCCTCAGTCCTGGGTCTACAGCCTCAGTCCTGGGTCTACAGCCTCAGTCCTGGGTCTACAGCCTCAGTCCTGGGTCTACAGCCTCAGTCCTGGTTCTACAGCCTCAGTCCTGGGTCTACAGCCTCAGTCCTGGGTCTACAGCCTCAGTCCTTGGTCTACAGCCTCAGTCCTGGGTCTACAGCCTCAGTCCTGGGTCTACAGCCTCAGTCCTGGGTCTACAGCCTCAGTCCTGGGTCTACAGCCTCAGTCCTGGGTCTACAGCCTCAGTCCTGGTTCTACAGCCTCAGTCCTGGGTCTACAGCCTCAGTCCTGGGTCTACAGCCTCAGTCCTGGGTCTACAGCCTCAGTCCTGGGTCTACAGCCTCAGTCCTGGGTCTACAGCCTCAGTCCTGGGTCTACAGCCTCAGTCCTGGGTCTACAGCCTCAGTCCTGGGTCTACAGCCTCAGTCCTGGGTCTACAGGTCCTGGGTTTTTTCTCCTTGGTTTCTTTGGTTTTGGGGAAAATCTCTCGCTCCAAATTGAACAACTCTCAAATAACTAACAGCAGCTCTGCAAACTTCAACAATCTGGCCGTAAGTCTATAATGGACCTCTTCATACACACCCCTCCCCCTCCCTCACCCCCTCCCCCTCCCTCACCCCCTCCCTCACCCCCTCCCTCACCCCCTCCCCCTCCCTCACCCCCTCCCTCACCCTCTTATATCTGACCACTTCACTTCCGCCATCTCTCTTTTCAACAAGCGCCGTTTGTCAGGGTCAGAAAGCAATTTAAAACCTCTATTAATGAACGTCAGTGAGAGAGGGACGGGGTGTAGAGGGGGGGGGGGGGGGGACTGGATGGGTAGAGGGGGGGGGGGGGGACTGGATGTGTAGGGGGGGGGGGACTGGATGGGGGGGGGGGGGGGGGGACTGGATGTGTAGGGGGGGGGGGGGACTGGATGTGTAGGGGGGGGGGGGGACTGGATGGGTAGGGGGGGGGGGGGACTGGATGGGTATTGGGGGGGGGGGTAAGCGGTTCCAGGGGTGTCAGCCATCAAAGCCAGGGCCAGGAGAAAGGAAGGCCAGGTGCCGGGCTGTGGGAATGCGGTGAGGCTGGAGTTTGGACCTGGCCAAAGTTGGGGAGGGGGTAATTAGGAGAGGCTCGGACCGAAGACCCGCAGGGACAGCCCCGAGCACGTCTCCTACTGCTGCTATTTGCACTTCTACGAAAGCCCCGCGGGTGTGAGGGGGGGTCTGTGAGGGGGGGTCTGTGAGGGGGGGTCTGTGAGGGGGGGTCTGTGAGGGGGGTCTGTGAGGGGGGGTCTGTGAGGGGGGGTCTGTGAGGGGGGGTCTGTGAGGGGGGTCTGTGAGGGGGGGTCTGTGAGGGGGGGTCTGTGAGGGGGGGTCTGTGAGGGGGGGTCTGTGAGGGGGGGGTCTGTGAGGGGGGGTCTGTGAGGGGGGGTCTGTGAGGGGGGGTCTGTGAGGGGGGGTCTGTGAGGGGGGGTCTGTGAGGGGGGGGGCATCCTTTATCAGCCGCACAAAGACGCTGCACTGTTTCAAAGGGAACGAGAAGAACCAGGACGTTATGGTCAAAAATGGACCATAGGTACAGGAGACTGGGACATAGGTACAGGAGACTGGGACATAGGTACAGGACGCTGGGACATAGGTACAGGAGACTGGGACATAGGTACAGGAGACTGGGACATAGGTACAGGAGGCTGGGACATAGGTACAGGACGCTGGGACATAGGTACAGGAGACTGGGACATAGGTACAGGACGCTGGGACATAGGTACAGGAGACTGGGACATAGGTACAGGAGACTGGGACATAGGTACAGGAGACTGGGACATAGGTACAGGAGACTGGGACATAGGTACAGGAGACTGGGACATAGGTACAGGAGACTGGGACATAGGTACAGGAGGCTGGGACATAGGTACAGGAGACTGGGACATAGGTACAGGAGACTCGGACATAGGTACAGGAGGCTGGGACATAGGTACAGGAGACTGGGACATAGGTACAGGAGACTGGGACATAGGTACAGGAGGCTGGGACATAGGTACAGGAGACTGGGACATAGGTACAGGAGACTGGGACATAGGTACAGGAGACTGGACATAGGTACAGGAGGAATGGGACATAGGTACAGAGAGGCTGGGACATAGGTACAGGAGGCTGGGACATAGGTACAGGAGGCTGGGACATAGGTACAGGAGGCTGGGACATAGGTACAGGACGCTGGGACATAGGTACAGGAGAGGCTGGGACATAGGTACAGGAGACTGGGACATGGTACAGGAGACCGGACATAGGTACAGGAGACTGGGACATAGGTACAGGTGGGACATAGGTACAGGAGACTGGGACATAGGTACAGGAGACTGGGACATAGGTACAGGAGACTGGACATAGGTACAGGAGACATAGGTACAGGAGACTGGGACATAGGTACAGGAGGCTGGGGGACATAGGTACAGGAGACTGGGACATAGGTACAGGACTAGGTACTGGGAGAGGACTGGGGCTGGGACATAGGTACAGGAGACTGGGACATAGGTACAGGAGAACTGGGACATAGGTACAGGAGGCTGGGACATAGGTACAGGAGACTGGGACATAGGTACAGGAGACTGGGACATAGGTACAGGAGACTGGGACATAGGTACAGGAGGCTGGGACATAGGGTACAGGAGACTGGGACATAGGTACAGGAGCTGGGACATAGGTACAGGAGGACTGCTGGGACATAGGTACAGGAGACTGGGACATAGGTACAGGACATGGGGACATAGGTACAGGAGACTGGGACCATAGGTACAGGAAGACTGGGACATAGGTACAGGAGACTGGGACATAGGTACAGGAGGCTGGGACATAGGTGGGACATAGGTACAGGAGACTGGGACATAGGTACAGGAGACTGGGACATAGGTACAGGAGCTGGGAGGCATAGGTACAGGAGGCTGGGACATAGGTACAGGACGCTGAGGGACATAGGTACAGGAGACTGGGACATAGGTACAGGACTGGTACATAGGAGGCTGGACATAGGTACAGGAGGACTGGGACATAGGTACAGGACTGGGACATAGGTACAGGAGGGGCTAGGGACATAGGGGACATAGGTACAGGAGACTGGGACATAGGTACAGGAGACTGGGACATAGGTACAGGAGACTGGGACATAGGTACAGGAGACTGGGACATAGGTACAGGAGGCTGGGACATAGGTACAGGAGACTGGGACATAGGTACAGGAGGCTGGGACATAGGTACAGGAGGCTGGGACATAGGTACAGGACGCTGGGACATAGGTACAGGAGACTGGGACATAGGTACAGGAGACTGGGACATAGGTACAGGAGACTGGGACATAGGTACAGGAGACTCGGACATAGGTACAGGAGACTGGGACATAGGTACAGGAGACTGGGACATAGGTACAGGAGGCTGGGACATAGGTACAGGAGACTGGGAACATAGGTACAGGAGACTCGGACATAGGTACAGGAGACTGGGACATAGGTACAGGAGACTCGGACATA